TAGGGAAAGGTTAATGAGGGTTTCACTTATCAAACTTTCAATCTAGCCCTAGGAATTATTGATCTGTATGCTATTATTTACTCCTCTACTTTTTGAGTCTTTTTTTTTTCCTTAGTGATTCTTGGCAAGTTGGAGAGTGCAGCTTTTTTGTGTGGTTTTAAAAGTTCCCACCACTACCCCACCCCAGGATCCACTTAACACTTATGGTGTATTATGTGGTTGTTACAGAGGGGAATCTCTTGTACTTCTAAATGCTCTGGAAGCATGAAAAGACAGGTTGGATTGTAGTTTTATCTGATTTTTATAGTTCTTTTGTCTTTTTAAAAATTCTTTCTTTTTTTTTTAAAAATAAATTTATTTATTTATTTTTGGCTACATTGGGTCTTTTGTTGCTGCGTGTAGGCTTTCTTTTGTTGCAGCGAGCGGGGGCTACTCTTTGTTGCGGTGCCCAGGCTTCTCATTGCAGTGGCTTCTCCTGTTGCGGAGCACAGGCTCCAGGCACGCGGGCTGCAGTAGTTGTGGCACACGGGCTCAGAAGTTGTGGCTCGCGGGCTCTAGAGCATAGGCTCAGTAGTTGTGGCGCACGGGCTTGGTCGCTCCGCAGCATGTGGGATCTTCCCAGACCAGGGCTCGAACCCATGTCCCCTGCATTGGCAGGTGGATTCTTAACCGCTGTGCCACCAGGGAGGCCCTAAAAATTATTTCTTGATTATGGAAATTTCCTATATAATTTGACCCTTGCAGTTTGCTGTGGAACAGAAACATCCCTCTTCCAAGGGGAAATAAGTAATCCAGCCTGTTGCTTACCCATCATTCAAGCTATGAATGGGCATTCCAGCTGTGGTCCTCTCTTGGGAGAATGGGACTCAGAGAGGAGACCCACAAAGGCCGTAGAAGCAGGTTTGAGCAGGCATTCTGGGGATTCTGGTACCTAGACTGCAGAAGAGGGACATGGACTATGGATGCGCATTCTTTGATCTTACTGACTCCTCACCCTGTTGGGGACATGCACAGCTAGAGGCAGGCAAAAGCAGGGCCCTCTAAAGCTCAGGACAAGGGCCCAGGTTGTTGGGCAGGAGTGTATTAAGGAAATCAGTATTTAATCTCAGCTGCCTTTTTACTAGCCTGTTTGTTTAGCTTTCTTATTTTAAGACTGTGATATGCTCTTATCTATGCTTGAGTTTTTAATGGATGATACAAGAATATTATAAACATTTAATTCAGCACCTCTGAGATGGAAATAAGTCTTAGTGATTAAAAAAAAATCCTTAGATTAAACGTGGTATTATGAGCTTTTTTGTTTTTCTAACTCTGTGCCTGGTCCTTATGTTTTGGTTTTTTTAGATCGGCTTCAGCTCCCCAGGAATATGATTGAAAACAGCATGTTTGAGGAAGAACCAGATGTGGTGGATTTAGCCAAAGAACCTTGTTTACATCCTCTAGAGCCTGATGAGGTGGAATATGAGCCCCGGGGTTCACGACTGCTGGTGCGGGGTCTTGGTGAGCATGAGATGGATGAGGACGAAGAGGATTATGAGTCGTCCGCAAAGCTGCTGGGCATGTCCTTCATGAACAGGAGCTCGGGCCTTCGAAACAGTGCAGCCGGCTACAGGCAGAGCTCAGATGGGACTTGTTCAGTACCGTCTGCGAGGACCATGGTGGTCTGTGCTTTTGTCATTGTGGTTGCTGTTTCTGTAATCATGGTGATTTATCTACTGCCCAGATGTACCTTTACCAAAGAAGGCTGCCATAAAAAAAACCAATCAATGGGATTAATTCAGCCAATTGCAACTAATGGGAAGTTGTTTCCATGGGCACAAATCAGGCTTCCCACTACCATTATGCCAGTACGCTATGAACTTAACCTACACCCAAACCTAACCTCGATGACCTTCAGGGGCTCTGTGACGATTTCACTTCAGGCTCTTCAGGCCACATGGAACATAGTTCTTCACAGCACAGGCCATAATATTTCAAGAGTGACCTTTATGTCAGCAGTTTCAAGCCAAGAAAAACAAGTTGATGTCCTGGAATATCCATTTCATGAACAAATCGCCATTGTTGCCCCCGAGGCCCTTCTTGAAGGGCACAATTATACCCTGAAGATAGAGTATTCGGCAAATATATCTAGTTCTTACTATGGGTTTTATGGCATCTCCTACACAGATGAAAGTAATGAGAAAAAGTATGTAGCCCTCTTAAATGATTCTGCTTCTTTGCTCTCTGATGACTTCTGCAATATGGATCCCTTTGCCCACACTAGAGACATTAACTGCATTTTTTTTTTAATTTAAGAGGTTAGGTGAAAAATAGTAGAATGGTGATTTGGAAGAGTAATACTCTTCCTCTCTTAGTCAAAGCCTTGAGTATGTATCATATATACGATATGTCACGGTGGGGCTGGGGGCATGCTGATGGAAGGAAATGGACAAGGATTATATCAGTTACATTCTCTATCACAAATACTTAAGTTATCTTGAGCTTTTCATATCTTATAAGATGAATCTAGTTTTCTGTCACCTTCAGGGTCTCCATGTGAACCAGATATAGAAGAATACAGGTTATTCTTTCAGTCTTAGTTTCCTATTGTGTGGACCTTTTAGGAGGTGCTTACTGAGATGGAGAAAGAAAGCCTGAAGAAGTGTTGTATACCTTATATATGTAATTTTTAGTGTCCTTAATCTTTGCTGGTTTTTGTTTTTTTAATGCCATTCTATTTTGGATTTCTGATGGAAAAGTAAAAAAAAAAAAAAGAAATCTTGGAGAGATTCATTTTAAAACAGCGACTTAAAACATAAAATTATTCAGCTCCCCATTTAAACCATATATTTTGTTCTTTAATCTTAGTATTCATGGATGTAGTTTGAATTTCTGGAAAGATGCAGTGCACAGTTGCATACAGACTATTCTTAAGTAGCAGTAATGTCACTTCTCTTACGTGTGCAAAGTCCTTGTCAGATCTGCTTAGTGCATTGGAGCATTCTCTCACGTTCCTTTGCAAACCAGTATGTGAATTACCATTGATGGCCATTTGGCTAATGTATGTTGGTATACTGAGAAAAATAGAAATGAATATTTTAAATCTGTCTTAAGTTTTTTGATCCTTCTTAACTAGAGAAAGAGACAAAGCAAGATCTATAGTCCTATTCAGATAAGTAATTTTTCTCTTTCCCCTTAACGTAATACTTTTAAAATAAATGGCATGCTGGCTCTTGCCATGAGATCTGACATGAAAAGCAAATTTATAATTGCAGGGGTAGCTTGGGGCTTCTCGGCTTTACTTCTCCTTCTGTAATCTCCATCAGCTCTAGGAATTGTAGGATATACATAAAAACAGTGTTCTTAGTATGCAATCAGACCTTTACAACAAATACCCTAGTCATCTCTTCCAATCAGATTATTGCCCTCGGATCCTCTTGGGCCTGCCTGTATATAATGGGAAGAGTCAGTGTTGTGTGGCAGAGTGAGGTGGTTTTGGACAGGGTCACTTGTTGACCCTTTTGCTGTGGGCTGGATTGAGTTGTGGAAAATGCTAGAAAAATGGAAGACATTCTTTTTTTCACACACACACTGTATTTTATTTTTACAGGCGATAAATAAACTGACACCAAACATTGTAAATGGATGACCACAACAAAAGCAACAATGATTGCAATTACCAAACACGAAACACACTCATACTATGGGAAGACATTCTTAAAATTATGAAATAGAGTATTTTTTTTTAAATAGTACTTTAAAATTTGTGAAACTCTGCTATTACAAAAAATATATAAATCCATTAACCTACCTGGTTCCATAAAATGGATGCCCCACATGATTGTATATCTTGATGCAAGATAGAAGTTTAGAAGATTATTTATACCTTTCAAGAGGTCTGAAAACTAATTCAAAACAAGTAGATAAAGTAATTAAGGGATATATTTCCTATTGATTGGAAAATCAAAATAAGTGTAAATGTCAAACGTACTGACACTGCTTGTGGTAAAGGAACTTTACCTGTGTCATCTAAGAAGTGGAGATGGTCAGTAACCTTGCAGTTAAATCTAGAAGTTGGTTGACCATAGATTTAAGGTTCTAGATAACAAACTGATACTAAAAAACTAACAAAGGAATTTAGGCTGGAGATGTGTTTTATTTCTTTGTCCTTCAATCTCTCAGTGTCTTTTTCTCGAACTCTTGAGTCATCTTCTTAACTGGACCCCTGACCTCTAATCTTACTACAGCTTTCCCCCTCCTCTTTCCCCCATCTTCCACACTGCTGCCAGACTATTTCTAGAAGTACAGATCTGACCATGTTGGTCTTTGGTTTATGATCCTTCAGCAGTTCCTCATTTTTAACAAGATTTAGTTCAATTTCTTTCAAGACCTGGGCTTTTTTTTTTCTCTCACAGCCCTCACCTGCCTTAATGAACTTCACGTGCACTTTCCTGAGTTCCAGTGATAATGGCAGCCCATATTTACTTGAGAACTGAAGTGCTAGAAACTGTTGCAAGCATTTTATATGTTTAGTCTTTTATCTTGGCAAACTCACTAAGAGGTGGAAATTATACTTTATTCACTTTACAGATGAGGAAGCAGAGGCACATGAAGTAATTCATTCAGCATCTTATGGCTAGCAAGTAGCAGAGGGGAACTCAAACCCAAAGTCATTTTAACTACAAAGACCACATTCTTAACCACTGTGGTGCACTGCGTCCTTAGTTTTCACCTCTTTACCCATTGTTATCATCAGTGCTTAGAATTCTCTTACTGACCCTCAGCTAATTCATAACTGTCTTCAGTGCTCCTGGAGGTGGTGCTCAAACTGCAACTAGTATTTCTGAAGGCAAATGCAGTCACTAATGAAAGAACAAGCTTTGAGGTATTCAGCTTAGATAGAATAGCTTATAAGTATCATCAAGCAGCAGACTTTTCAAAGGGGCTTCTATGTAAAATAGTTCTTATTGCATCTCTTTTAACAATAATTTAAGATCTTATTTGTCTTAGAACATTATAATCCAGTTTTTATCCAAAATGATGGTCCAAGTAGACTCTCATATGAATAGTATGGATGTCATCAAACTTTATCCCTTGGTCCCCTGTGGCCCTCCTCCAAAATCTTCAATTAACTGGGTAAGAATTTGGGAGTTGGGTGAAGAAATGGAATGTTCGAAACATATTTTTAAATTGTTTCACATATGTTGATTGCTGTCATTCTTGCAGTTTACCCTAACAAACAGTTATTTGGGCAAATCCTTACTAGGACAGAAGCACAGTAATTCTAAGCGTGAAGGAAGGGTTATGACTATCCAGCATTTATAATAGACATCTGTGTAGGAATTTATGGCATACAAGTGGTTGTTACTATGAATAGTCTTATTCGATTCTAGCAAAACCCCTAAATGTTTGTTAGGGGATCCTACCTTGACCCTAGTTTAACAAATAAGGAAATGAGATGTAGATCACTGATTTGCTGAAGTCATATGGCTGGTAAGTTGCAGAGTTTGGGTCTTCTGACTCTAAATCTTACAC